GAGACATCATATCTAAGGAATTTTCTTGTAACAATCTCCGATAGAGGACTTTGTAATATCATTGGCAATAGTCTTTGTGACTTTGGTGCAGTGACATTACAAAAGGATCATTGCATAAAATGTTAGAATCTAGCATATTCTATAAGTAGCGAGAATTTGATATTCTTTCACTTATGGAAAAGGATTTGGAGTTGTGAAATGAGAATGATTGGAAATGTGTTCAATTTGATCTATTTCACAAAAGGTAAGAACCGTAGGTAAACATTGTGTGCATGCTAGGAGCATGGGACAAGTGTAATAATTCAAGTAAGAAGTTGATTACCCGAAACAACAAATAATGAGTAATCGATATGGTGATAAATAAAAGGGAGTTTTATTTATACTCGAAGGGTTGAGGCCATATGGGATTAGTATTATTCTTGTGTTTCACTTTGCATGTTTTGACTTCCTGAATAGTTTAATAGGTTGAGAACAATCAAATTATTCGAACGGGCCACAGTCGTTCATATGTTGGAAGTAGGTATGAATGAAGACTGTCGTGAATTGGTGTGTGGATTGTCTAAAAGAGTATTAGACATAAGCAAATGTTTGTTGCAACGTTCATGAGTGCTTATGAATATGAATTTGAGCATTGGATTAAACCCACGCTCACTTGGATCACTCCATGAATTGTATCACGAGTGATTGGTGAGACGATAACATCTTATATTCTTGAAACCGAGATGTGTGAGTTGCATCTTGCAAATCGGTTGCACGTTGATAATATGAAAACGCAATAGTAACTTGGTGTTATAAAACATATTGTTGTGTGTGATTTGGTTAGTGAGTGCAAGCAAGCATTGTATCAAAGTTTATCTGTTCCTTTTATCCAAGGAAGGACAAAAGCGATATCTTTGGGCCCCTCGATGGTTTAGTGATGACAAACGTAAATGCTCGGCCGGGCTAGGGCTAATTGATTTGTTCAATTAGTCAGTCGTCATAAATCGGAGATCGAGAAATAGTACAAAGAGAATGATTTGAAATCATATCTCATACGATATCTAAAATGGAGGAATATATGATCCCTTATCTAAAGGACACGCGATGATTTGAAATCATATCTCATACGATATCTAAAATGGAGGAATATATGATCCCTTATCTAAAGGACACGCGTATCTGATAGGATCAGAGTTGACAGCGGCTTTGGAAAGCTACAATTGCAGATCAGGATCTGAAGTCATACGCAGAATAGTTATTAGACTTATCCAAGTGGGAGACTTTTGGATTAGTGTCTAAGTCCATAACTATTTTGGTATGTACTTGACCCGATGGTGCATGGTCCTTTTGGGTTGCCTTCACCAAAGCAACTTGATTGGAGAAATAAATAGAGAGAGAGGTTATTATGATTTATTAATATGTTATAAGAATAATATATTAAAGGAGAAATCATATTTGTTTAATTAATATTGGTCAATAATTAATTAGAAATTAATTTTGTGATCAAGTGTAATTAATTAAACTAGAGGGGCTGAATTGTAATTATGTGATAGTTACAAAATAAGGTAAGGATTATCCTAAGTATAGGATGGACGAATTTAAGGTGATAATGCCTTAGAATTTGACTATGATAAGGATTCAAGGATTATCTTATGGGTTGCTTGGTAAGCAAGCAACTAGATAAGGATAATGACTGAAACCCTATCTGTACACCTATATAAACCCCCTTGGCTCATGAATTCGTGGAAGACCTTCCCAAGACCTTCCCAAGGCTTCTTAGGGACGAATTCAATACCTCCCCTCTCTCCTCATATCTTCTCCATTTGCTCTTGGTGTTTGTAAGCCATTAGAGGAGTGACAATTGTGACTCTAAGCCTTCCAAAGTCAATTCAAGGAGGAATTGAGATTGTTATTGCTACATAACAATCAAAGTAATGTATTAAACCCATTCTTATGTTAATATGATTACTTGTATGCTAGAATTAGGGTTTATAGTCTTGGATAACTTGCATGTACAATAGAGAAATCTAGATCCAAGCATTAGGGTTATGTATGAGCACATAGGATGTTCTTATGACCAAAACCCATCAGTTTTGACCCTGATCCAATCTAAACCCTTAAAATTTTTATGAGTTTGAGGCGTAGTTTTTGATCCGTTTACCTGTTAATGGCCCGTACCTGCTAACCCTTTTATTAAAAGTGTCAGGTATGGATCATCACCGATCCGCTCCGTTTATAACCTGAACCATATAAATTTTAGAATTATACATTTGCATTTTATCTTGCCTAAAGTTTACTTTTAATTCTAATCGAAAATCTAAAGGGAAAAGGCCAAAGATCAAACTATTTTTACATAGGACTCGACTTTTGGACTTTCAGTCTTCTACCAAGAATTATGATGTCATTTCATATATTTTTCATCAAAAAATTCACCAATTTCATTTATAAAACAATAAAGTCATTTATCAACCAAAAGAAAGTTTGCAATTGCTATTATTTATCAATGCAATCGACGATAAAAAATCAATCAGAAGTTACTACAATAATGATTTTAATTCCAATTGAAAGTCCTCGGGTACATAATGTGTTTTCTACATCAAGATTTGTTTTATTAATAAATTCTATTTTAAGAATTAAGTAAAATGTGTTTGATTATTCAAAACACTCATGGGTTACGGGGTGAGTTTAGGTATCTGTTGATTTGATGGACAAGGGTATGAGTTTGATTATTCAAAATCATGTGGGTTACGAAACAAGTTTGGATCATATTTTAATATTTTTTAAAAGGGTTTGGATCAAGGTTGATTTGCTCAAAACCCGCCCCATTGTCAGGTCTAGACACGTGTCATATTTTGATAAAATTAATGATATTTTAAGATACTTACCATCATTTTACATGAGTATAAGTATAAGTATGAAGAAAAGTATGAGCATATTTAATTTCTCTTTTAAAAATGATGAAAACTTCCTTATCGACAAGGGAATGATTTTTTTGGTATAAAAATTGCATTTAAAACTTTGTACACCAACAATAAATATCAAAAAGAAACTCCCACGAGACCAAGAGCCTACCAATGAAATGACCAATTTGCGTTTCACAAAATTTGTGTATACTAGTCTGTTATATTTAATGTACTCCTAAATTTTTTATGTTATTATATTTGATTGAATTTTTTTTGGGTTCACCTACTGTACACATTCCTACGTCCGTCTCTGTTCACAGAAACCGTTCGAATGAAAAAAAAAAAAAAAAAGAATACACACAGATCACCTCAAATAACATGAACACTTAGTTTAATTTAATTATCTTCACATAGGTCCTATCTAACAACCTAGTTTGGTCTTTCTTTAAATTGCCTCATGCCTATCATTCTAAAGCAAGTTAGAATTTATATCAGGGTCGACCTGATGTATTGAAAATATAAGTTAGGGCTTAGGGCCCCATTTTTTAGGGGGGCCACTTAAACCAAATCCTCTAATGTCGATTCCATATTTCTCTTCTCGGTTTCTGCATTCGTTGATACACATACGACGCCTCAAATCAAAAGTGACGATCACACTTCTTCATTCCTTCCCTATTCCCGTGGAATTAATCTCTGATTGACTGATTCCCCTTTCTCGATTCTAGTAGGCTTCTTCAATCTCGATTCTTGAACTGACACTAAAAGAAAGGTTGAACCGTTGAAATAACTTCTTTTCTTCTTCCTCCTCCATTCTCGGCTACTATGAAGACCGATGAAGTTCTCTAGTGACTAAGGTATGTGCTTTGTTTTTTCACTTGATTTTTCCATTATTTGATTATGTATTAGGGTTAACAATTGGTTTTTTCATTATCTGTTTTCACTTGATACCTTATATTCTCGATTTCTTTGTTGCTGTTTGATTTTTGATCTTTCGAGTTAGTATTTTCATTCATTTTTTGTGTTGATGGTAAACTGAATCTTAATTTATTTACTTCTTGTCAAGGTATTATAAGATTTATATGGTTTGATAAACTAAACTGGTAAACCTTAATTTGTTTACATCTTGTGAATTGTATTTTTGTGAATTTGTGTTTAAAAAGAGAAAAAAAAACACTATAAGTTTAAACAGAGAAAAAAAAGACAATCTTCACTTGTTATTGATCAATTTCTATGTATGTGGTTACTGGCTTGTTCATTGATATTTTTGTTGAGTTGAATATTTTTGAGTTGAAATAATCCTGCAAGTTTGAATTCTCATTTTAACTAAAACACCACAAGTTTAAACAAAGAAAAAAAAAGACAATCTTCATTTTTATATTTATTTTTATTACCGAACATGGTTGGAACGAAAGAACCCCAAGTTTTTAGTTCACTTAGAGCCTCAAATATAGTTGAGCCGCCCCTTGCGATGATAGTTTTAATTTCTAGCTATCCATAATAAGTTTCTTTGAGAAACGGTGAACGTTACACATATAAATATAAATATAATGTTGAAATGAAAATACAATGACTCTGCTAATTCCTTCAAGTATCTTTTAACAAGAATAAAAGGAATCCTTTCCAGGGGCGGATTTAAGGGGGGTCACCGGTGGCACCGGCAACCCCTCATTTTTCCGGCCGTAGTGGAAAAAATTTCGAAAATTTTTAAATTTTTTATTTTTTCTATTACCGTACAACCCCTAACTTTCCCGTACAACCCCTACTATGAAATCCTTCGCCCGCGTCTGATCCCTTCTATAATATTGTAAGGAAAGAATAATTTTAAGCATTGTTTAACACGTATACACCAAAATCTTCGACTATTTGCTTAATCGTTAGACGAAATATCTTTTTCTAATTAGGGGATTTTTATTATATGTTTAAGTTGTTTCTTTTAACATAAGAAAACAAAATGCTTCTTAGAAAGACTTAATTTTATTTGTGTAATATTACATAAATATAAATATTAAATGCTTCTTAGAAAGACTTAATTTTATTTATGTAAATATTACATAAATATAAATATTTATCTAATATGATAATAGTTCTACAAGAAGTTATTCATTTGTCTTCCAACGGCGTGTTCAAATTTACATCATGAATTAACAGAAAACAAAACAAAAAATAGAAAAAAGAAAAAGGAAAATGAGGAGAAAGATCACGTTCGTCGGGAGTCTCGGAACTACTACCCGTGTTATCGTGGTAGTTGCGATGGCTATCGTCATTTCCCTTGTTCGCTCTTTCCATCGTCCCCTATGCTCTTCTTCATCTTCCACACCTAAACATCTTCTTAAATCTCGCATCTGCCCCCTCTGGTCTCCTTCCTTCTTATTCTGCCTACCTCTTCCTCCTCGCAGCACTCTCATCCGCCACTCCTACTTACCTTCGGTTTCCCCCGCCGCCGCTCATCGCCGTGGTTCATTCTGCTCCGCCACACTACCATCCTTAATGTCGACGGTTTCTGATGATAATCCTCTATTGAAGGACTTTGTGTTCCCTCCGTTTGATGCAATCGATGCCTCTCATGTGCGCCCTGGGATGCGTGCCTTGTTGAAGAAGCTTGTAAGTCTGTGTGATTGATTATAAATTTGTGTTTATTCGATTGCTGATTTGTGGAAAAAAAACATTGCAGGACAGCGATTTGGTTGAATTGGAGAAAACCGTGGAGCCGTCGTGGCCGAAGCTGGTGGAACCGTTAGAGAAGATGCTGGATCGGTTGAGTGTTGTTTGGGGAGCTGTTAATCATCTTAAGTCTGTTAAAGATACTCCTGAACTACGTTCTGCTATCGAAGAAATCCAGGTTTATTTCTATTACTTTTGGCTGATATGATTTACCTTTTGAAAAGGCAATATCTATACATATAATGATGTCTGCTTATGTGCGTTTATACGTGTTTTCATTTCGAAGGTAAAACTTTAGTTGATACAGTATATTATAGAGGAAATGGATGTTGTGATCTTCTGACTTTGCTTAAATTCTTGTTGCAGCCTGAGAAAGTCGAATTTGACTTGAAATTGGGTCAAAGTAAACCTATATACAACGCTTTTAAGGCTATAAGGGAGTCACCGGACTGGGCAGGACTAAGTGATGCTCAGAAGCGAATTGTTGAATGTAAGTATCTTCAAGTTCTTCTGATTGTCAGAGAGCAGTGGTTATTTTATTGTGCTTATTAGTTATCACTTCAAGTTTATTGTGTCCAACTGATAAATGTTTGTATGATTATGATGTAAACTAACTATCTCCAAGTTCTCTGTTCAATCATGCAATATCAAGCATCTGTGGATTTGGTCTGACATGTCTCACTTTGTGTACACATGCAGCATCACTAAAGGAGGCCGTTCTTAGTGGTGTCTCCCTCGAAGATTCTAAGAGAGAAGAATATAACAAAATTCAACAGGTTTGATCTTTGTATTATTAAAGGCAGTTAGAATTCTTTTGACGTTGCTTGTTCAAGTTTAAATCAATTTATGTTTCCTGTTATCAATTTCCCTTAACTATTTTGTTATTCTCTGTAAATTGATCTTCAGGAGCTGACAAAGCTTTCTCGAAAATTTGAGGAGAATGTTTTGGATGCCACTAAGATTTATGCAAGACTAGTAACTGACAAAAAGGAGATCGAAGGATTGCCAGCTACAGCTCTTGGCTTAGCTGCACAAACAGCCATATCTAAGGTTCTTGTCATCTTGTGAGCTTAATGTTATTGGGTGCTTCTATTATGTAACCAGTGTCCCAATTGTACTTATTTCATTATATGCATATTTGAATCCAGGGTCATGAAAATGCAACTGCTGAAAATGGGCCATGGGTGTTTACATTGGATGCTCCAAGTTTCATGTCTGTCATGCAACATGCCAAGAACCGAGCTTTACGGAGGGAAGTTTATGATGTTTATATAACCCGTTCATCTGTTGGAAAACTAGATAATACTCCAGTTATTGAACAAATTCTGAAACTTAGATTGGAAAAGGCTAAACTTCTTGGCTACAATAACTATGCAGAGGTCTGAATTTCTGTTCATTGCTTATACTTCCCATCTACCTTATAGCTTCTTAGTTACTTTATATGATTGGGTTATTGGGAATTTTATTATCAGGTAAGTATGGCAACCAAGATGGCTACTGTTAGTAAAGCAGAAGAGCTTCTTGAAAAGCTCAGGAGTGCTTCCTGGAATGCTGCAGTTCAGGGTAATATCATTATCCATTAAACATTCATTGTTATATTTGATTACATTTTATATTGTTGATGTTCTTTTCACTAAAATTGTATTGAAAAATGGTTCATGATACCTATTCCTGTGTATCTTGTAGATATGGAAGATCTGAAGCAGTTTGCCAAAAGTAAAGGCGCCCCTGAAGCTGATGGCTTGAACCACTGGGATATCGCCTTTTGGAGTGAGAGGCTACGCGAATCAAAATATGATATAAATGAGGTTCTCTTTCTTGAATCATGCTTTTAGTGTCATTAATAAATAATACCCCTTTTTCATTCACAAATAATAGAAATTTGTATTTATATATACTGCAGGAAGAACTTCGGCCTTATTTTTCATTGCCTAAAGTGATGGATGGCCTTTTCAACCTAGTGAAGATGCTATTTGGCATTGATGTTGAAGCAGCTGATGGTTTAGCACCAGTAAGATATAATCTAGGTTCTAAATTATCTATTTCTTTTATCATCTGGGATTTCATTTCATTCTTATGTATTTTTTGTTCCTTCTAAATGTGTAGGTTTGGAATGCTGATGTCAGATTTTATCGTATCAAGGATTTATCAGGGAAACCCATTTCCTATTTTTACTTTGATCCATACTCGCGCCCAGCTGAGAAAAGAGGTGGTGCATGGATGGATGAAGTTGTTGCAAGAAGTCGTGTATTATCAGATGACAAAAACTCTGTTAGGTTACCAATTGCCCATATGGTCTGCAATCAAATGCCACCTGTTGGAGACAAGCCAAGCCTTATGACATTTCGTGAGGTACATACAATCATACATACTTGTGTGTTGTTTATATTTTGGTTGAAAGCTCTTAACTAATCCAAGGAATCCATTTGAGTTTGGGAATATAATATATATATATATATATATATATATATATATATATATATATATATATATATATATATATATTTGGTTATTAATTTAGGTGGAGACTGTGTTCCATGAGTTTGGTCATGCACTTCAGCACATGCTAACAAGACAAGATGAAGGGCTTGTTGCTGGTATTCGTGGCATAGAATGGGATGCTGTTGAGTTACCCTCCCAGTTCATGGAAAATTGGTGCTACCATAGGTAGGTACCTATATAATATAGATTAATATATTAAAAAAATGATTAATATATGAGACACTACAGGGATACGTTGATGAGTATTGCAAAACATTATGAAACTGGAGAGACTCTCCCTGAAGAGATATATCAAAAGCTTCTTGCTGCTAGAACTTTCCGTGCTGGCACCCTTAGCCTACGTCAGGTGAGATTCACGTTGATTCATTTATCAAATAAAATAATAATAATAGATAAATAAATTAATTGTTTTTACTTGTTAGCTAAAATTTGCAACGGTTGACCTGGAGCTACATAGCAAGTATGTACCTGGTGGGTCGGAGTCGATCTATGATGTTGACAGAAGAGTGAGTGAAAAAACTCAAGTACTTGCCCCGCTTGAGGAAGACAGGTTCCTTTGTGGTTTTAGCCATATTTTTGCAGGTGGTTATGCTGCTGGATACTACAGTTATAAGGTATCTATCTATCCGTTTTATATACTTTTATTCTTTATGCTAAATTAAATTGCTAATGGTTTTTGATGGATGTTGATGTTATTTTTCAAGTGGGCGGAAGTGTTGTCTGCTGATGCTTTTTCAGCATTTGAGGATGCTGGATTAAATGATGACAAGGTAGTATATGATTTTTGTACATATAATAATAATAATAATATTTTCATTTACAAATTAATAATAATAATAATAATAATAATAACAATTAAACAGGCTGTGAGAGAGACAGGGAAGAGGTTCCGTGAAACTATTCTTGCACTCGGAGGTGGAAAAGCTCCACTAGAGGTTAGTTACTTCCCTTTCCTTTAGAGTCTAATATATATATATATATATATATATATATATATATATATATATATATATATATATATATATATATATTTATTTATTTATTTATTGTTTGATCGTTTAGGCAATAGACAATGTCTCCTTTTTAACAATACAAAATTGTAAATTTGATTATTATGTTATGATGACATGACAGGTTTTTGTTGAATTTCGTGGGAGGGAACCATCTCCTGAGCCACTTCTGAGGCACAATGGGCTATTACAAACTGCATGAACATGAACATGAACATGAACAGGGAAGAAGAAGTTGTTGGTCCTTTTATTCATCACCATCAGCAGCAGCATATGATTTGGTTTTTTCTTGAATTAAAAGTATGATGCATTCATGCATGCAGTTGAGATGACGTTTCTAAATGAACCTTTAAATAGCAAAAGCCAAAATGTTGAGAGGTAGATGATGGATGGATGATACATTTGCTTTGCTTTATCAACAAAAACTAAAATCTCACTTTTAGAATGCTTTGGTTTGGTGTGATTTTTTCAATCTATTTGGTGGTGCAAATATTCCATGTGCTTATTTGGTGGTGGTGGGAATGGAGTGAGAGTCATGTGCACCTGCACCCATTGTTGCTCAAATGAGATGCCATCAACACTAACTACAAAAAAACACATTGTTTTTTATTTATAATACTGTCAAGCACTTAAAAATGGAATACTCGAGTGAGATACATATTATTATAAAGTTTTCATACAACGAATCAAAAACTAGAAAAGTCAAAACTTTACGTGTTCGGGTTTGGACAGGATTGGCTACTAGACGTTTTTAATATAAAAATGCTTGTTTTCTAAAACAACTCTTTTGACCATTTTTCCCTTGTGTATAAACATGGATGATTTCATTTGGAATCAGGACACATTATTAAAATACTCGCTAATCTCTTACTCTTGACAAATCATTGATTCTTGGTTTTCATTTTTTGGGATCCCAGCTTTTATATCCGTATTCTTGTCTCAGTTTGCTCGGTAACTTTTCTATATTTCATGTTCCGTGCTTTATATTCTTGTTTTTGGAAAAATAATGTCAACATTTTTTTTTTGTCGGGATGAGGCCCTCACAAACTGACTACATTATCGAAATAGAGCCATGCATCTGTGTGGAAGATGTTTTGAGACCATTACGACGTGAAAATCAGGGGTGAACACAGTCTGGTTTCTAACCAAAACCAAACCAAAAACCGCAATAATCAGTTTTTTGATATTTAAAACCGAAACCGCACCAAACCAATCGGTTGCGGTTTTTCAGTTTTAGGTTTTAAACAATGCGGTGTGGTTTTTTTTTACCCAAACGGCAATATATGTTGTAAAATTTAGTCCAATTTAGACCAAATCAAATAACCTCAAACGAGTTAGAGAAAACCAAACAGATTAGACATTAAACTTGTCAAAAACAAATTTTAAAGTTTTAAACAACAGAGGCTATTTTAAGCCCAAACTTTTCACACGACTTAAACATGTAAAAGACATGTGCTTCTCAAGGCTACTTCACCCTTGCTTTTTATAGTGTTCTAGTGTCGTTCTTGTTTGATGATTGTTGTGGGACTAAGGAAACTTCTTAGACGGGGAGGGTGTTAGAGGGATGTTTTCCGCAGGCCACACTTTTCTTTCCCTCACCTAAAACCCAAAGAATGGATGGGAAGCTTCCCTTATTATTTTTTATATTTTTATATTTCATACATATATTATACTTATTTTGTAGGGAATTAAAAACCATGAATTTTAATATATTTTTTTGATAGATATATAATTTTATAAATATTAAAAAGGATAAAAAGAAAAAAGAAAAAGAATAATATATATATATATATATATATATATATATATATATATATATATATATATATATATATATATATATATATTCATGTATAAATATAATTACAAGCAGGGTCGGCTCAACAAATTTGGGTGCTCTAAACGAATCAAAAATTTAAGACCCTTTTGACATTACTATACAAAAGGTCATTTTCCACTTGGGTAGAAAATTAGAATTTCTTCTCAACTAGAGACAACTCTTGAAAATCGATAAAGTTAACATGGTTATCAATTGTTTTATATTCTATTCATTAATTTGATAAAGTTGAGTATGCTATCATATATAACTAAAAGTACAAATAGTTTTTTCCCAGAAGATTATTATAATGGATACATTTATCAATATGATAAAATTATCAATATGATGTGGACTACAAAGTTATCAATATAAGGTCTGTTGCAAAGATACAAAGTTCTCTATTACAATATATCAAAATTTTGTTAATTCAAGGGAAGTCTACCAGAAAAAACAAATGGAACATAGAACTTAGAAGAAATAGTTTTTAACTTTCTTTTATATATATATATATATATATATATATATATATATATATATATATATATATATATATATATATATATATATATATATATATATATATATTTGTTATGTATGGATGATGTGATTTTATTGATACAAAGCCGATTCCATTCCAATAGATATATTGGAGGGTCTCATTGATGTGCATCCACTATAAATTTAATCTATGAATTCATTGATTATGAGTTGAGTGTTTTAAACATTCAACCACATATGCTTAGCGTGTCATATTGAATTACCGTATTCTAATTAAAATTGAATCTTTGTGGAATTGTTTTATTATTAATAAATATGAGGAGTTTAATGACATGACATGCATTCAAGTCATTGATTTTAGAATTTAGAGTTATTTGAGAGGATCGCCAGTTCTCATTATTTCTTAGATTCATGCAGTCAATCCAGTGGGATATTTTCTTTAATTTTTTTTCCACCGAGAACATTTTATGAAGTCTTTTGACACCAAAATTTGGAGTATCCTATTTTCACACATTTCATAGGGCTCAACAAGAAATCACTATATCACGGTCGTTGTTGTAATACTCTTTGAAGTAGCGGTCATCTTTTATATATATATATATATATATATAATTATATATATATATATATATATATATATATATATATATATATATATATATATATAGAGAGAGAGAGAGAGAGAGAAGATCAAATAAGAAATAAATTTTTGGTAGGAAGGTAAAAAAAATATATAGAAAAAAAACTTCTTACCTTCCTACCAAATAATTTTTATTGCCAGATCTATATCCAGTATATATATTATTATATATAATATATATTATATATATATATATAATATATATATATATATATATGATACATTAGAATCTATTGGTCCAACGACAATGGAGAATAGAGATAAACTCCCAATGAGGTAGGTTATGGTTGAGAAGGGTACACAACGTGGTCTCAACAACTTAATTTATCGCTAAAAGATCAAGGTCGAACCAATTATTGCTCAAGGCAAGGACGAACCATGCTCTAGGTCGAGCCATGAACAATGTCCATACGATTAGCTCGAATGTCATTCTATTACTATAATTTACTGTCTTGATGATCAAAAATTGTATTTTTCAAGTCTTTTAAAGAAGATAGAACTTGGAAAAATTAGTTTTTTTAATTGTATTTATAATTCTTTTAAAGAAAATAAACTTGGAAAATCAAAATTTCCATGATGATCGTATAGGAGTATTAATTTCATAAAACAGTTTTATTCATAAAAATACGATTCTAATATATTTGAGTTTCTTTAGCATAATATTTCTAAAGGTTTTTTTGAAGTTAAAATTGAAAACAATATTATATGTACCAAAGAGATTGTTATTCATTGTCCATTGAATTTAATTCCCTCCTTATCTTGAAATTTGACTTTTATGATCCACATGCCCCACAGTGCATTTGTCTATCTATAATCAGACTGTGATGCCGTTTCCAAAACAAGATAATCTGTGAACATGTCATGGCGAATTCAACGGTTGTAATTTAATTTGTGGACCCAATTTGGATGTAGGTTTGGTAATAGGAGTTATAATCCTCGTAAATGTTACAATTAACTTTGGTTCTTGAATATGGATACGAAGAATGAGCTGAAACGATTCTTAAATACCAACAGAATTTCAAGAGTAGTGTTTTTATAATGGAAAATAATACAAAAAAACATTAAGTTTCTATAAAAATTCTAATTTGATATTGTATTTTTTCTCAAATTTGACCTTGTGTTTTTTCAATTTTTTACAGTTCTGACCACTTGATCGTTCAACCCGGTTACCTACTGAAGTAACATGTTGATGACGTGGCATGTTAACGTATTAAAATTGAATTTTTTTCACACAAAATATACTAAGTTTTCATTTTTTTCGATTTTGACACTAAGTTTAATTTTTTCTTTCATTTTTGACACTCCATTTTTTTTGTTCCAACTCGATTTTTTTTTTTTTTCAATTTTGTTCAATGTTGATCATTTTCCATTTGAAATCAAACACAAAACTCAAAATCAAATCTGAATTCAAACCTGAAACTGAAATTAAACATAAAATCAAATTGGAAATTGAATGTGGAATTAATTCAAACCTAGAACTCAATCAAACATTAAAATGAAAATTAAACCAGAAATCAAACCTAACCAGTGTTTTAGAGTCGATTTAGGCACCGAAACTGATATCAAACATGAAATCTATTGTATTTATCACTTCTGGTTCGGTAACATGCTTTCCAGTCCGAGGCAAAGAAAGAGGCCAATGCTCAAGTTTGTATTGTCTCGTCGGATTCGAGTGCCCGCACCACCTTCGCCTTTTCTGGTGGTGCTGGAAATAGATGTTAGTGGAGGAAGACATGAGTGAGGCAATTGGATTTTTAGGTGTCGTCTGCTTTTAAATGAAATAAAGAGTGGCAGAGTAGAGAGACGGGTTAATCCCATGAGTGAAGAAGGGAAGGAGATAAAGGATTTTCTCACTAGCCATGTGTGATGTTGTTGGAGTTGTCGGAGATGCAATTGATCGGTGATGCAACTGGTGAATGGTGATGATGGAAGACAAGGGGTGAAGAGGCAGCCAATGAGGGATTGGAGATACTGCTTAGCGTTTTAGGGATTTTTTTTATTTTTTTAAATATATTATTAATATAAAAAGGTAAAATAATAAATAATAAATTATTAAAGATAAAATAGTCTTTTTATAACGGACAAGGATCAAGCGTGTAACGAAAATATAAATTAGGAATGGTCTGAGTTAAAAAAAAGTTGCTAAGGACCAATCTAGCAGATTACCCTAAACCACAGGGACCATCCGTGTCAGAATTGAAAAAAAAGAGTGTCAAAATTGAAAGAATAAATTAAACTTAGTGTCAAAATTGAAAAAAAAAAGAAGTGAAAACTTAGTTTATTTTGCGAAAAAAAAATCAATTTGGACATGTCATGATGCCACGTCATCAAAACTGACATGTCATCATGCCACATCAGCAGGTAATCGGGTTGAGCGATCAAGTTGTCAGAATTGTAAAAAAAATTGAAAACACCGTGTCAAATTTGAGACAAAAAAAACATAGTGTCAAATTAGAATTTGGTGTAAACTTAGTGTCTTTTGTGCTATTTACCATTTTTATAACCTTTGTTTACATATTCTCTTAAATAGGAGCATATGGAAAATCTATTGAACAATGAAGACCAAAATGAGTTCAAATGATTCTTAAATACATCGAGGATGGAGATCAGTGTTGTAAAACTCGCCGAGTTAGCCTATTACTCCTCCGAGTACTCATTACTCGGCCCCTTATCGATGCGAGTTACAGAATCCCGAGTACTCCTTAATCGGCCCCTTACTGAACGGAGCAGTATTGTAAAAATCGGCCAACTCGGTGATTAATATGTATAATATACTTAATGATTTGTTATTTAACACACATACATGTGATTGTTATTACATATATATCTTAAATTTTTAGTAATTATTCACGAAGTGAGATTATGTGTTTCTTTAGATTTTATGTATTCGCATGTATCTAATTTTGTTATATATTTCAATCAATTTATGATTTTAACATATATAATTTTCCTAACAATATTTCTACACGATTTACTAAATCTTGAGTACTCCTGAGTACTCCCGAGTACTCACTACTTGGTAGTCGGCCGAACAAGTACCGAGTAACGATATCTACAACCTTAATGGAGACCTTTGAAGCTGGACCTTGCCAGATACAAATCCACATATGTTTAAACAAGTTTGATGTTTTTCTTAAATTTATGCCCTTAACAAATGTTTTTGTTGCCCTCTGTTTTGTTTTCAGTTTTGCTAATGCATAATCGAGTAGTACAACCCTTCTATATAGAAGGATAAAATGGTCGTTTACTTTAATTGTGATCTTGACCCATTTTAGTTATTTTGAATGTAAAAAAAGACGTTCATATTTTATATATTTTGTTCTAATTTATAGTTTGGTTGATTCAATGTCTACTTATTGGATTCTTTTAATTAAGCATGCCTAAATTATTGTGTTTTCATTTCAAGATGGTTCTAAATTCGAATTAACTTCATACATATAAATTAAATAAATTAAATTGTTTGATGAATTAGCAATACTACATCAACATGGGGTATAAAATTGATGTTTTAATATACAATATAGCACCATTTACGAGCATATGAAAGTCATGTATTAATCTACATCTACACATGCTAAGTTCATGGAACACAAAGGCTGAGTAAAAGCCATTATGGTAAATATTAATAGAATTTTGGAATCAATTGGTAAACTTCTCATTACAATTAGACTTATTTATATGTGTTCGAGTCCTATGAAAAATCCAATACATTACAGGACTGGTCTTTGGGCAAGAATGGACATTTGAACATTGTTCTCTCATTGAGTTTGGACAAAGACCAAAATCAAAGTGAGGTTAGATTGAACTCTGAAAATATGCATTACAATGTTTACCGAAGTCGGTTTTTTGCCTGTTTCTGTGCATCATGGTTGCTTTGTTGAGCTCCAGATCAACAATTTCATCTGTCCAATGTCATACATGAGCTAAAAATGGTCAACGACAGGAGGACATGCTTCTGTTTCATGGTTTATTTGATTAGTTTAACATTTGTTTAACAAATAATCATTATCAGTTGCTTTGTTGACTAATATATGAATATGAAATTGAAAAATGTTTAATTCTGTTAAAAGTTGTTGGTAACAACATTTGGGGAAGTTTAAGT